AGCCTAGGATATTTCAGGAGTTCAAATTGGTCTTTGACTTATTTTCAAATGTTCTCAAAGACTACAAAATCATCTGATAATGCATAGGCTTGAACATAAACATCTTATTGATGTCAAGTCTCTGAAATGATGGGTCACTTTTTCTGTTCCTTAGAAAAATACTATAGATTAACTATCATTTGTGATTCAAGTGCACCATTTAAATTTGTTCCCTGTAAGTTCTCTTGAACTCTTATACTAATGTAGTTTCACATGCTCTTTTTCAGGAGATGTTTATTCATATATTTCAACTATTTGAGTTAGCATTTCAATTTGAATTAGTGGACACATGTCTCTCAGCTGACTCCCTCAGTATGAACTTTCATAAATGGGAATCAGGTCTCCACAACACAGGTTGTTTGGGAATTCCATCTCAACCAAACTATTCTCTTTCTTTGTTTCTTCCAACATCTTGCAAGTACTTTGAGATTATGGTAATGATGTATAGATTATAAAGCTGTCAAATGAAATATTAGCTATAATATTAATATTCATAGCTAGATGTTGATATTTTTTTTCTTTATTTTTTCTCACTTGAAATTAATACTTATTTGACCTACAAAATAGGATGCATATTACTACCTCAGTCAAACTAGTACTTACCATAGGTCTTCCCAGCTTATTGTGGGGATATAAAATCCAAGTTCTCTCTTATCTGTAAAATAAGGTTATATAGATAAATAGTGAATTGTATTCATATGCTACAGCGATGGAGTCTGGCCTGTTTCTAGAAGTTTTGGGGGAGCTGTTACTGAGAAAAGATATAGGCAAAGTTCAAGTTATTTAAATAAATGAAAGTGAATTTGAGGAGATGCGTTTAATGTAGTGGGAACGAAGTCAGTGAAGGTGTTTATGGAGGAGGAGTTCATGTTCAAAAGTGCAGGAGATGAAGATGTTTTTAGCAGCAGCATTTTGTTAATGTGAGAGACCGAGGTGAGAAGTGGGGAGGCCAGAGAGGATAGGTTGTACTAATGAAGTTGAAAGATGAGAACACCATGGTTAGAAGTTTAAGTAGTAGTAAAGAGAGGGTAGAAAGGATGAATGTAGAGGAATTAGTTACGATACAAAGGAAGAAAACCTAAAATTCACAAAACATCTAGGGTACGATTTATTTGTATTACCATAGCACTTAGGAACCCTAGTCATGGACCAGGACACCATTGTGCTAGGTGCCATACAAACACAGAACAAAAAGACAGTCCCTGCTCAAAAGCTTACAATCAAAGTATAAGACGAGACAACACATGGAGACAGACACAGGTTAGTATAAGGAAACATTGAGACAATGCTGGTCAGCATGATAGGCAGTAGTATTAGTGCATGAATGGCTAACTGTGATCAATATTTTTGTAGTCATCACAGCAAAAGTTTTAAAGAGATTTTAAGGAGAACAATTAAGTAGTTTTACAGATGCTTACGGGGAGCTTCTTCCACTCATGAGGAGCAGTATGGGAAAAAGCACAAAAGTGCTTGCTGGAAAATTTGACAAGTGGCTGATGGAGGCTGATATCGTTGGGCAATCAGAGATGGGAGCCAACATTTTGATAGTGAAAAAGAGATTATAGAAAGGGTGGTAGTAAGCCATGAAAGACCAGAAAAATGAAGACCAGCAGCTTATGTTTTATGCAATAGAAAATGGGGAGCCAGTGGAGGGATGCAAAGAGAGTGGTGACATGGTTGAAAGCAATGGTCTAGAATGATCTTTGCAGCAGCATTCTGAGTGGATATGAATGGGGTAAGACTGCATTTGCCAAAGCCAGAGAAAAGGCAGTAATCAATATACTATGTGATGAGAGCTTGGATGAGAGTTTTAGCTGGGTGGATGAATGTGAAAGGCTGTATCTTAGAGATGTGATGCAGAAAGAATCTGCAAAATTTAGACGCAGCCTGGATGTGAGGACCTAATGAGTAGTCCAAGTTGAAGATAAAGATACTAAGATTGTCAACAGTGATAGAGGAGGGAGAAGATTGCCTACTCATATTTAATGTGACAACCAAGAGTTCAGTGGTGGTTCCCCTGTGCAAATCAGTAGTCCTAAAACTGCTTCCATATTTACAGTATTGATGTAATTGAAAGATAATGAATACGTGTGTAAAATGATTTAGTTAATGAATACCAGTGTTGTTAATTGCAATGATTGAAGTGTGAGTGGCATTTAAAATGTGTAAGGGTACTGCTACTGTTTTCTTCCTTGTATTGATAAAATTTTGAAGAATAACTGTTCCTGCAATAAATAAAGCTTAGTAGTTTCTGCAAAATCTGTAGATTTTGCTTTAGACCTGTGAATCTTCATTTGCTTCACTTGAAAGAATTCCAGATTTAGATTTGTCTGCTTGTCTATGTCGACACTTCTTGTCCCAGATTCTTTCTCTTTTGGTCCATTCTTGCATCCTCCCAATGCTAGTGGCAACATCCATTCACAATGAGAGTACAGCTTGAGTTGGCCTATTATTATTAGCCATTGAGTTTATATGTGCCACTCAATTTATAGGTGCTAATAACTCTTCCCTAGAGAGCAGCCTTTTAAAGGATAAATATCTAGCCTATTATGAATAGATGTAGAAATTAACTACTGTATCTTATAGTTGCTATTGCAGATATTCAGATCCATACGCAATTTATAATCAGAGCATTTCAACCATGAAAATCAACTTGTTTTTAGGTTTAAAAAATAAAATTACTCTTGGGTTGTGAATTAGTAAATCTCAAAATTCTGCCATGTTAGTCTACATAAAACCCAAACACTCAGTTATTCTGTTCTTAATATATGAAAGCTGTTTGTTTTAAAGAATTGAGCATTGTATCCATACAATATGAAATATTGGTAATTCTGGCCTTGGCTTTCATGTTTTAAAAAAAGCTTGACACAGGATGCTGTTTTCAGCCAGCTATTAAAAATTCTATTAAATGTTGCTAAAATGAGCAAGTTTGCTAATTGGATGATTTTGCTGGGTTTGCTAAGTGAAGGTTTATATTAGTCTTGCAGTATTGAGATAATATAATAAAAACAAGTACTGCCCTACTAAATCAGAAACTGTACCAGGACTTTTTTCCCCTTAGACTTGGAGGTATGTATTTAGATTGGGAATGTCCTGGTTACTTTCGAAATATTAATTTTTGCCTAATTTCTGCCTTATTTATGTATAAGCTTCAGATGTAACAAGATAAACTAAAAGGTTTCATTTAGAGACCTCTTAAAGTAGAGCATTTTTAAAGCAGGTAAGTGTCTCTACCCTAGTTTTCCATGAAACATTTTATCCATTCAAGCAGACTTTTAAAAACAGCTTGTTTTGATAGCAGCTTGTTCTCCTGTGGGCCTTCAGCCTTTGCTTCCTGGCAGCACCTTTGGTGCGAAAAGAGAGTGATCAATTGGGAGACTATCAGTGCCAGCATGCATAGAGTGATAAGTTAACACACCACTGGGAATTTCTAGGGCCCACCAAGATACTTCACTTCTAATGTGCTAACAAGCTCATTTTTCTACCTCTTGCCTCTTCAGTTATTTTTTTTTCTCAGAAGAGCTTAGAAGTTGAGTGCATCAGGCATAATGAAAAGCTCCGTAGGAGGGAGAAGCAATAACCCCATTTTTCTCTTTTCAGCCAAATAGAAAATTAGCTTCTGGTAATACACAAAGGCCAGTATTTTTTGTGTAAGGGGCACTGCTGTGAATCAAAGGACTCTATTAACTGCAGAAAATTCAGCAGCTGTGAATCTCCCCCAATGAAAAAAGTGCTTTTCAACAAGTTGTGAGATATGTAGTATTATTTAGACTTCAACCATCAGTTTCATCCCCTGTCACTTATATATAGCCTCTTAAAAACTGTGCTATATTAGTCTCCTGTGTTAAGGCTCAGTACTGTGTATGTCCCCCAACTTAAGAACTTTATATGGAGGGTTTTTTATTTCTTCTTTTCCTAGTGTTTCCATTATAATGTTTTCGGAGTAGAATTCTTCTGAGGTTCAACTATCTCAGTATTCAGAAAGAATTTCAAAAATTCCAGAGAGACAGTTGATTTCAATATTTATATGTACTCAAGTTGTGGTATAAGCAAAGAATACTATGGTGTCTATTTTTTGATGGAAAATTATTTTAGACAAAGTATATTGTATTTATTGATTTTGGCCACATTTTTTCTTAGAGTAATTTACTCAAATATACTTCGTTTGTTGTAATCGCTTCCTGTACTATAGTTACATATAAGGATTATCACTACATATCCCTTTTAATTGCTGAAATATAATCGTGAAAGCCAGAAGAGTACCTAAAATGTATTATCTTCAGTCCTAATTCAGGGCTGAAATTTTATTGCTCATCCTAATTGAAAATGGCAGGCTCATCTACTTAATTGTATTTAGTGCTTATATATAGTATTTTACATGTTCAGCCTACTTCTCACAACACACCAATGAGAAAGATAGGTAGCTATTATCCCCATTTTACAGAAAGGGAAACTGAGACCAAAAAAGGTAAAATAACTTCCCTAAAAATACATGGCAAGTCACCAGCACAACCAGGCTTAGAACTCAGGACTTCCGAACTGCCAACCCTCAGATTGTTCTTCCACTCTGTGAGGCCTCTTACTAAAATATGAAAACAAAAATATGTTCATGGAAAATGTTAATACTTGCAAAGAGTAAATCATTTGTTAAAAATACACATGTTAATGAGAATATACTGTAGGAGTGTGTTTTTTTTCTTTTATGCTCATGTAAGATATTTAAATATGGCCTGCCTAACTCAACACACTGAGTCCAGCTGGACAACTTTAAAAGTTGTGGAAGAAAAGGTTAACTGATTTCTCAGTTCAGGATCTATACAACATGAAGTCAGCATGGTCGTTTTTCTTGATAATTGTATGTTGCTACCTGCTGCTCTACATTTTGACAGCCATTTCCATACTTGCTTTCATGAACAGCAGAAATATTCTTTTTTTTTTTCTCGCTTTCTCTGTGCTAACAGCACAATCAGGCCTGCTGGAACAAGAAACCTGGAGAGGGTTCTTCTAAAGCAACAACACTTCAAGATACTGGTCTCCAGTCAATAATATCAGAGAGGGAGAATGTGGTGAAAAGGAAGTACGGTATTTTGCTGTCAGTGCCCTCCGACACTCTGTTAGCCAGTATTTAGGGGTCCTGCAGATTCTTTACAAATATGTCTGCTTTTTTTAATGGCATAATTGACTATGTATTTTTTTTCTGATACTCATTTTAAGCTATGTATTTATCTTAACTACATGAATTTGTTTAGGGATTATGGAAACAGTTATTTTTCACTGAAAATAACTAGGATTTTTTTTGAGAGAAGGATTCTAGTTTGTTGTTTGTTAATGATAGTTATTTTTCACACTATACCCCTACAAATTACAATTACAGAATTTTTAAAACCTAATTTTAAACAGTGTTATGACCAAGTCAGTTTGCTGCTTTAGAAAATAATCTGTAATCTTAGGTTGATTGAAACAATTTTGAGGTGCATAAGAAAAGAAAGTAAAATTGACCTGAAGGCAGTGTGTAGCCTTATTCAAAGATATTTTACTTTAGCTGCATCCAGCTGTTGGAACAGTATTATAACTGAAATAGCCTGAGCCATGAGGTACACATCAGGTACATAACCTATCCCAGTGTTCAGAAGGGGTTCAGATCCAGAGTTTAGGTTCAGACCCATCTCTAATTAATGTATGTTGCACTATTTAACTATCATTTTTATTGGCTAACTAAAATAATGTTATATAAAGATTTGAGAATAATTTAATTTAATCCAAAAATGCCATACTTTCAGTGTTAGTAAACTGCAAATGGTCATTGAAATTTATAATATGCACATACATGAATAAATTTGTTAAAGGGAATAACATAGCTGAATTACTGAGTAAGCTTTAGTGTTTAGCAAATGTGTGCTGTGATTTAAAGTTGATCCTTAACTCTTGGGTAAACCAGTTATGAGGAGAGAGCTCGATATCTGCAAACAATTGTTCAACACCATCTAGAACCCACAACTTTTGAGGACTTTGCTGCTCAGGTTTTCTGTCCAGCACCCTATCACCATTTGCCCTCTGATTCAGGTAAGAAATTCAATAAAGAAATTCTTTCCATAGTGTTTAATGACACTTAAAATGCAGTATCCTTACTTATAAAATCTGTAAATTCCAAACTTTTATGTATTATGAAGACTGATCATTAATCTGAAAATGTACAAAGTGATGTTATATTTTCATATTTGAGCAACTGTGTAATTCATAACCACAGGAGAGTTGCCTTTAATTCCTTAGTTTGTTGCCTGGCACTATGATTTGGCAAAACATTTTAGTAGAGCAACCAAGTTCTGTATTTTTACAATGAATGTTTATCACATGCTCAAACTAAATCTCTGGGCTGCGGGCTGATGAATCCTCAAGTATTATTCCTAGACCTTCTCTAAGACAGCTTTAGATTGCTATCTTACTGTAATGTAAAAGGTCAATTAAAATGCCAAGAAAATTTTACATTCACCAACTTTATATTTTCAAAATATTAAGAAGCAACAAAATTGTTTCAGATCCATTTTTTATCTTTAGGAATCTGTTTTATAAGAAGGTACTGCATTTTCAGTTACTAATAAAAATAATAATCACTAAGAAAATGAGAAACTCAGGGCCTTCCTGTTCTGATGATGATTTTGTGACTCCTTATGATTATTTCATTTATTTTATTTCCCCTCTTTTTAGATCATTAAATATCAGTTCTGTTTATCTGAAGGTAAGACAAAATGTCCAAAAACACCCTCTGTTCTTACTACTTTTACTAAAGCACTAAACTTGTAACCAAGTTATATGCAAACTTTTCTTGTTACCCTTGTTCACTCTAAAAAGAATTTCACATTGATTGAGAAATTACCACTACATTTTCTTCAAGTTTTAGTCTTTTACTAATCCCAGGTCTGCATGAAACACTAACAGGGGTTATGGGATTAAAGCAACTAATGGTAGACACAGTTGTTGAACTAGTAACACTTTATTGTGTTGACCTTTTGTTTCTCAGCATGAACAAGTAGTACTGAATGGCAGTGGTGTGTTTTGTACCCTGTACTGTCTTGCGTTGATGTTCCATAATGGTGCTGTAGGAGAGGAAGAGGAGAAGAATGTATAACACTTGAAATTTTTTTGATAAACTTGTGTAATTTTAATGCAAAGCAAATCAAAATGCCATGATTCACACATTTGCAGTTGAGTAAAATCAGTTCAGTTTTCTTCTTAAAACAATAGATGGAAATCAAATGAGATTAGAATTGGTAAATTGGTACTTCTTTATATTTGGTTTTCTGATTGCAAAAATGTCTAAGATCTACATAAATACATTCTAAAACACATGGGCTACGTTGGTCGAGAAAAGATTAAGGACATCTTAAAAATACTGGAAAAGCTTAAAAACACTGAGATTACTTTGTTTGAAAATGTGACAGGAAGTAGGAATGTAATAGAGGTATATAGGATTGGAAATTGGATAGTGAAATCTAGCACAAGTGCTCAAGAACAAGTGGAAGCTAAATTTAAAGACAATAAATGTTAAACTGAACAAATAAGCTAAATACAAGAAATATGTTAAAGTAACATGTTTTTTACACATCTCTTAATCAGCAGACTTGATTGCTACAGGATATTGACCTATTTGAGATTCAAAACAGGATTCCTAAGAAATTTAGAAATAACATTTATATTTACACTACTAGTGTTTATTTAAAGGAAAAATACCTGTGCTTCCTCCTTCCTAATGGTATTCAGTAGTTATTCCACATGGTTGGAGTTGCCTTCTCTCTCTCTTCTTTTTTTTTTTTTTTTTTTTTTTTTTTTGTACTTACTCAGATATTTGTTTCAATTGTATCTATTCGCTTTCAGTTACCTCCCTGCACTAGAGGGTATAGTATGCACAATTTGTCTGGTGTATTTTTGGGGAGAAGTGGAGCAAAGCCACCTTCCTCTGAAGCATCGATTATCAAACACTTGGTTAGTTAGACCAGTGGTCTGTTCTGGAATGGCAATTCCTGTATTCCTTTTAAAATAATCTTTCTTGATTTTCTCTAACTGCAGTTTGAACAAATACTTTTAAAACTTTATTTTAGGTTAAACAGTTCTACCAAATGAACTATTTTTCAATGGCAATCTCAACAGGAATATTATAATTATTCTTACATATGAATATATAAACCATGTATGTACTGTATCTATTATAGACTTCATTAAAAAAAAAGTTATAGACACAGTTTAATTTCTGCAAATAACTTACATTAAACAAGTGTCTTTTTATAAATGTTACATATTTACATGGATAAAAGCTATGTTAATACAAATATGATAAAGAAGTATTGCCATCCCTGATCAGAGCCCTGAGTACTTGGTTCTTTTATTATTAAAAAATCGAATAGATTAAATTATGCAATCATTGTCTAAATATTAGTGGTCATTGAATGAAAATGAGTACATCTTACACAGCAGTTACTTATTTTTGCTAGCTTCACGTGTGCAGAGTAATCTATAAATTATAAGAGAAACAATGAAGAAATCACTTTTTTAAATCAATTGGTTTTGAAATCTGGAAAATTACCAGGTACCAATTTGAGGGCAGATGGCTAAAACTAAATTCGGATTTTCTCCTCTTTATTCCAAGTAAATTAACAAACTTACTGAACCCTCTCTTGTCTGACAGAAATAAATATCACTGTTCCAGGTAAATATTGAAATCCTAAACCTGGATTTCAAAATGCTTTCTCAAAAGGATTCTATAAAAAGCACTGATACAAATATAAGGCCTACACTATGTTGTTATGCCATTTACACACCATTAAAGCCAATGGAGTTATATGAGAGTTAAAACCATCATAACAGAGTGGAGAATTGGTCCCATGGGTTGAACCATTTTTACATCTAATTTCTCAACAACCTTAAGGATGCATCCTGTCTCACTAACTGTTGTATTTTTTAGAAATTGGGTTAAAATATTATTGTATTAGATTTCTTTTGGAGTTTTTACATTCATTTTAAAATATATTGACAGGTCTAAATTCTACTTAACCATGTGGGATATTTGTTAAATTTGATATGCTTGGTAATTCAAGATATATAATGGGGATATCTGATTTTTTTAAAATGCTCACTAATTCCACAGTTTATGGCCATTCTTGACTAGAAATAGGGGTGGCTGAAGAGGGGCGCAAAATATTTTTAGGTTTTCAGTGTTCTGGGCCCCCAATTCCATTATTTTAATAACCTTATGGCAAATGTCTTCTTAAATCTAACCATGATCTCCAAGACCAGTCATATGTTAGTACAGCTGATGAATATAGGCTTTATAAGGAAGCAGTACATAGAATTTCACCTTTTAGGGGAAGATTAAACTTACAGAAAGTGTGAAGCTAAGACAAAATCACCAACTGTTGTAAATACATTTGTCCCTGACCGTCTGTTGTTTAGTTTTGATGTGCCAATGTTTTGACCATATTTGAAAAACAGGCAAATTAAACACTGTTGAATGTTTTCAACATTGTGCTTCAACACACTGGTTAACTTTACTGAAGATGCAAACCTTAGAAAGAGCTGTTACCTTCATTTTGGTCACTACAGTTGTTTCTTAGAAGATGATAGTATCTGAGCACTTCCCAGGTGTTTAAAAATTGAAGTAATATCTCTCTCTCTCTCTCTCTCTGCCTATAGGAGAAATAGCTTGTTTATCTTAATAGGAGCTGGACTTGCAGAATAGGTGGACACGCTAAAATGATTTTGTTTTAAGTGAGCTTTACCGTGTGTTTGAGACAAACAGAATAGAATGGCTATTTTGCCTTCATGCTTGTCCTGCCTGTATCTTTGAATACAGTAACCTGTAATATATCTTTGAATACAGTAACCTGGGAGGTTGTAACAGTAACCTGAGGTGAGCTAATACCAGTCCCCAAAGTAAGACAGCTTTCTCTGATGCAGAGCAGGCCAGGATACTTGTCAATGTTAAAATCATGGCTGTGGAAGGGCTTATTGACAAAGTGAGGCTCAGATCCTTAGCTTGTTACTGAAGAGCTTTTTCCCTTTCCTGTTTTTCACTCCAATGCCGCGGACCACCGTAGATAATTATGCTGATTCCTATAAACAAAGTGTTCCTCTAGCACAGTTCATTTAGTCACAATATTGTGTCATGAGATCAGTCTGGATCCTATAACCATTTAGCCCATCCCTGAACAGGGCAGGAGCCTTTTGATCCCATAGAGAATAGTTTAGTGACTGAACATTTCAAAACAATATTCACACAGTTCTTCCGGCCTCCTGTGCAG